ATGTAAATAACTAGAACATTGCATCGATTTCTTTGTCAAGAACGAACGTTTGAGAACGTTGCGTTGAATTCTTTGTCAAGAACGAGCGTTCGAGACGTTGCGTCGATTTCTTTGTTAAGGCCGAGCCACTAGGCTCTTGGGTTGCGCTCACCGGAAAAATCCGGACAAAACCCACGCCAATCCGGAAACAAAGGCCCGCAGGCCAACGTTTTTTTTTAACCGCTTGGGCCCAAGCACTTTCAGTTGGTTCTTTAACGCGACGACATCGTGTGACCTTAGAGAATTTTCCTTGCATCGGAACTGTTCTTGCCGAATCGAGTGAACGTTTGTTATTTATCGAGTTTTAAGTGCGAATTATGTTATCGAGTTAGTTGTATAAGCGACGCTGTTATTACATACGTCAATTGGGCTTTTTTATGCCGTCACGGCTTTTTCCCCAGCGAGCCAATAAACGATCAATGATTTTAGTGGCTCAACCGAATGTGCATCATTTATTTTTTTTTTCCTACCAAACAACCGCGGAAGGACTTCGTAATGAAGGAATTTCGAATAAACAAGTTGCGTGGTATAGGGAAAAGCGTGTAAAAGTTGTTGCTTCAAAGGGGGCCACTGGCCTGCAGAGCGAATAAGTCAACTGTCTGCGTCTCGCTCGGCCGTGCCGGTCGGATCTCTCCCTCACTCCGCCCAGCATTTCGAGCATGCGTAGTTGACCTATTCGCTCTGCAGGCCAGTGGGCCCCGAAAATTTAGTAACAATAATAACAATTTAGTTCATTATTCGTCATTCACATTTCGCATTTCGGCAAAGAAGATGGTTGTTCACAATGACTCTTCCAATCTGCCTCTTTCCCGAACATCTTCTATATACACGAATATGTATTCACACATGCATTTGCGTGCAAAATATTCATACAATACGTATGTTTCGTAGGAAAACGTGGGGAACCGGAGCAGGAAATAAAGGAGGCTGACCCGAGCCAACAAAAAAATAATACTAACATGCCGAAGTCGAAGAAAAATAAATTGAACTGCAATCATTCTCAAGATACACTAAATAGAAATACCTCAAAGGTATATATTAAAGAGGAACAAGAAGATATGAGCGATATTGACTCATTTCTAGTACTGATTAAGCCTATGTTGAACAAGTTGACCTCCAGGGTATTTTATGAAGTCCGTACGGATATATTTATGTCCATTCACAAAAAGTTATCGGACAAGTATAAAAAAAATAAAGAAAATTGAAAAAAATGTTGAAAATTTCTTTCGCATTGCGAACTTGTAGAAGGAATCGTATATGCAACCTTATGCCAATACCAAGTTGCGTGTAAATAATAACTGACAGCGCCGCGGCAATGTAAAG